GACGATATCCGCTTCGTCATGCCTAGAGCTGATCTGTGCTGGTCGCTGAGGGAATATATATCAACTTTCACCATGGACGAAGCTGAGTCCAGCCCGGGGTCGTCACATGTGATTGCCGCAAGCCCTGCAGGCCGCTCCTTCGTCGAATCCGCCGTTCTCAAACCCGCCCGCCGCCGCTCACTCAGGCCCGCCGGCCTCCGCTCACTCTAGCCCGCCATGTGAAACTACTTTGTTTGGCCTTCCAAAAGAGGACACGACTAGAAATCAGTGGTTAAACAAATGACTCGTTTATAATGGGTTTTTAATGTTTTTGTCTCGTCGCTCCGGCCTGACAGGGCATCATCACAATATGGCAAGGGGCGTAACATTTTCGTCACGCGCTTGATGTATTCGGCCAATCATAACGCACTGGATAGCTGGCCAATCAGCGTACACCTCGCTTTTCAGACCGATGAGCTTTGTAAAAATCGACGCGTTTCAGAAAGGCGGGGCATAGAGGAGAAACAATAATGTTGTTATTGTTTATTATGTGGAAAATAATGTGTTTTTTTAACCTTAAACCGCATAAACACATTTCATTACACCAAATACACCAAATAATGTTATTTTTAGCATCCTCATATGACCCCTTTAAGACATTGTTGACCACTTTTTATTAAATTGTTCCTATGTATTAATTGAACATGTCTAAATAATAATTAAACCTTGTATTAAATAATAATAAATATTATTATAATTTGCCTAATACATACCTTCTACTCTTTTATTTGTTTTTTAGGCTATTCACGATTTAATTAAAATAATGGATCTTAAACCGAGGGAACAAATTAATAAAACATCCTCATATTTAAACTAAAATGAATGGTTAAAGGGGCCATGAACTGAGAAATCAAAATTCCCTTGATCTTTTGAAAGATAAGATGTCATCGTACTATGAAAAACATCCTGTAAGTTTCAGAACTCAAAACTTTATCGTTAGTCTAAAAACAGCTTATATTGAAGCCAATCTGCCAAAACGACAGCTTGTGGAATGTGCCGCTCTATTACGCCATAGAGCGGCACATTCCACAAGCTGTTGCTCTTTTCCAAAATTAGGAAAGAGTGGATTAGCTTTATTTTTAATGAAGTTTCAGACTGCGTCAGTAAAAGGTCGGTTGTTTGTTCATTTCATTTCACCGCGGATTCGTTTACAAACAAGGCACAATTCAACGCAGGATTTTCAGAAAGATTGAAACTAAAAGACGATGCTATGCGACTATATTGGATCCGACAGTAATGTCGCACCACACTAGTGTGAGTAACTGTTTTTATTACGTGATCACTTTTGCTTTGTCTGTTATTACAGATCATTTGATATGAACTGAGTATTTAAGCGTTTTTGACCTAAATTACAGCAGCGTCCATCTGTGAGGAATGTAGGCTGCCAAACATACACAACTGTTAGCCAATCATAGCAGTGGGCGTTTACTTCAGAGTCTACAATCTGCCACGCCTATTCAAACAGAGTGTTCTGATGAGAGGGGTCAAAACAGGACAGAAAATAGTCTTTTTGATGTAAAAATCTTGATAACATTATAAGTGGACCTCAGAGAACAGTACAAAATAATAAAAAAGGCAGTTCATGACCCCTTTAATAAATCATTCTTGTGAGTTGATATCTTTTTTCAGAATATAATGCGGCGCGCCGTGAATTGGCTTACACGTTTTCAATTCTGCATGGGAACAGTTAAATTTATTAATCATTGAAGGTTTTCATGTAAAGTCAAATTCCCTGTGTGATTTGATGTAAAATACAAAATATGTGGAATACAAAATATGATTTGAAGCCTATGTCATGTGTTTTGTTCAGAGTTTCAGCGTGCGGGTGGTTGGGGGAATCTGTCCAAAATTCAAAAAATAAATAAATAATTA